ATTTGAACATACACTATGCTGTTGGTAGCTCCGCCTTCTCTCTGGCCATTTCTGTCTACTCACCCAACTCAAACCGTGTTATATACCTTTGATCTATTGCAGGAACCTATTATCCTTATCGGAAGACAAATCTACAACCGGAACACAGCTTCTATCAGTAGATACGATTCCAACAGTCAACGCTTCTGTGGATTATATAAATAATTTGTAGCAGTGGACTGCACTTTGATAATATATTGTTGCACTGTACTCTCATTTACTTGGATTTTTATTCGCATATTTGTTATGTCAATGAACTGGCTCTAGACGGTCCCCTACAGAAGTAGTAATAATTCAGCAACCAGTGATATTTTGATTCTTTTCTGTCTAGAAACTACATTTTGTAGATATTCAGATTATTGCTGGCACATAGGACCAACAACGGAGCAACCTCCATCATGAAATCTGTTTATCATTGCAAAGTTGGTCCATTGAGTCTGCTAATAGCAAAATAATGCTGTACTTACCATCTACTATGCAGTTTTATGAGTTTTCAAACCCTTTATAACTTATTAGCTGATAAGTATTGTAAGTTAATCATTCTATGTGTCTCAATCTAGCACCTGTGTATCATCTTTCTTCTCACCGTAACAGAAGATTACGCACAGTCACAGACAGAGAAGGAATAACTCAGACTGCCATGAAAGATGTATTTTGTGATTAAGCAAGGTTTAAAGTGTGCGGGTACAAGTTAATTAATCATCTGTTAGAGCAAGCCTGGCTAGACGCTCCTCTTCTTGCTCCAATGAGTTTATACTGGCATTCATTTCTGCAAAAAAAGAAAAGAAAACTTATTTAGTGGTATTATACAAGTTTTTGTCCCATTACATCACCTTCCAATAACGCAACCCTTTGTAATTCCCGCGCGAAGTTGACTGACTATGCGTATGTTAACGGTTAAAATTTAGACTTAAGCCAATATCTTACAACTTATTCGATCAAAAGTGAACATCAAGAGGAAATTATTACGTTTTTAGAATTTTTCTCATTTTTTCAGTATTTATGTGACTAAACAGTGCTCAATCTAAGATTGCATTTGTCAAATATGACCATGTCTGTACAATCAGTATGTCAGTCTTGTAAATTTTTAACTTATGTGAATAAAATATTATTACTATCATGAATGAGATATTTGATCTATCATAACAGAGGTTTTATCTATCCTCCATATCGTGTTTCGTCGTGCCTGTAAAATTGTCATGCTTCCCATGTTGATTGATTTTTTACATGAAGATGTAGTATTACTACTATTATTAAATCTCTTTGAATACATGAAACCATAGGGACGAGGCAGAGTACTAGTGACAACCGGCAAGCCCAGTGTGAAATAGAAAGATTGAACAGACTTTATAATGAAAAATTTTTATCATGTAAAAATCCTTCAAACATTTGGAAACTTTTCAATAAACTTACAAGTAAAAAACAAATGTCTGTTGATGCTTATTCTGATGTTAATGCTTTAAACAAATCATTTATCATGAAACAAATTAATATACCTGTACCTGATGTAACTAGTCAAGATAATGGTAATTTTACGGGTTTTAAAGAAAAGGATGTACTATTATGTTTGAAATCTTTAAATCCAACACACAGCCTTGGTCCAGATGGTGTACCAGGCATTCTTCTTCAAAAGTGTGCAGACATCTTGTGTCATCCTCTTACTCAAATCTTTAATGCATCATTCAACAAGGAAACGGTACCTTCTGACTGGAAAGAAATCAAGGTTGTACCTGTACAGAAATCATCATCTGGAGCAGGTATAAAGTTTAGACCGGTCGCTATAACATCTCCTTTTTTGAAAACTATGGAGAAACTTCTTTTGAATACTCTTAAACCTTCTTTAAAAGCTTTTAGTGACCCTAAGCAGTTTGCTTATAAGTGTGGAAGAAGTACATTAGATGCAGCCATTGTACTACACCACAATATTGTTTCCTGCCTTGATAAGGGTGCTAAGTTCGTTCGAACAGCTTTTTTAGACTATACTGCAGCTTTTGACTCTGTTCCTAGGACACTTTTATTAGGAAAGATGATTTCAGCACAAACAGAGTCCTGGGCAACTAGATGGCTGTCTTCTTATTTTAAGGATAGGAAACAGCATACTGTTTTGGCTGGAAAGCGCTCCACTTCTCAGCTAACTGAAAGTGGTGTGCCTCAAGGAGCAGTACTTTCTCCATTTCTTTTCTCTTTCTTTTTGCATGACCTTCCGAACTCACCCAACGTTAACTTCATTGAGTATGCTGATGATCTGACCGTTTCTGTCCCTGTAGGTTCCACATTGGATTGTTCCCATATGAATGGCTTCTTAGCTGAAGTTAAGGATTGGTCTAGCTCAAATGGTCTTAAACTAAATCCAACTAAATGTAATACTGTTGATTTCAGCTTGAGAAATGAAAAAGACATGCATGGATTGATCCAATCTCATGATTGTTGTAATATTGATGGTACCATGATAGAGAGTAAGTCAAGTGTTTCTTATCTTGGCATTAGTTTCTCTTCGAACCTTTGCTGGTCGTCTCATATTCTTATAGTTTCTACGAAAGTTTTCCGTCTGACTTATTACATAAAGAAGTTGAGGCACTCAGGTATAACCCAATCTCTTCTCATACAATTTATTAATTCATGTGTTTTGCCCATTATTCTTTATTGTTCCCCATTATTCTTCCCTGGGCTACTCAAAAAAGACCATATAATACTACGAAGAACATTGAGGGCTGTAAGTAGGGTCAGTGCTATCCCTTTGACTCAACTAACCGACACTGTTGTCAATAGGCATTTGAATTCTTGTAAACACTTAGCTAAAGTTATTTTGTCTGATAGTGAACATCCTCTTTATTCACATTTGTTTCCTTGTATCTCTTCGGGTAAGACCAGAAGAAATTTCATAAACATTTATGCTCGTACTACAAAATATAAAAATTCGACCGTACCATATTTGGCACGAGTATTGTGTGAAGAGACGAATATCAGAAAAGAACTTTAACAACTTCTAAATCATTAACTAAACTAAAAAATGTAATGATGCATATTATTGCATGTGTGATTTGTTATATTATTTATTTATTATTCACTATGACCTAGAAATGGTGTGTTTTGTTGGGGTTTTTATTTTTCCTATTAACTATTAATATTTTTAAAATTTTATACATTTATATAATTATAAAAAGAGCTAAACCAATGCAATATGTAAAATGAAACGCTGAAAATTCCATGCTGTAAATTGTTATTGTTGTGGAATAAAGTGATTATTATTATTATTAGCTGGTATCTTGTTGGTCCAGCTTTCCGAGGTGCACGATGTTTTTCGAATTGTAGGCACACGGATCGAAATGTCTTCGGTTTTCAACGGGATGGACTTCAGAGGCTGCTGTAATTGGTGATTAGTATTATTGCCGACCTCAAAAATCAGTATTATTCTGTCACTGACTAATAGTTTCAAATGTTATAACCGAACCGGTTATCAACCACAACGAGAAAAGCAAACTGAACCTTCAAAATACAATGGGTATTCGGGCAGCCATATCGTAAAACTGAGATCCATATCTAGATGACTGGGAATGGTGAACGAAAATTCGAATGTGATACGAGAGCACAACAAATGGGGAGTTCAGTTGTCTATGCGACCAAATTCGCGGCTTCGCCCGCTTAGAGGACTGTTTAGTTGCTTAAAAATGCATAATTTTTAAGGCACCTCACATCATCAAATGATCAAATTTTGAGACCTTCCCGAAAATGTAGGTTGGATATTTGACTGAATAACAAACGCTACGGATCACCGGCAGCTTTACGCAATCCAGGTTTGCATCATGTGTGGCTCATTACCTCTAAGTTCAGCTGTATATTCAGGACTGATAATGACTGCTTCTGACAATGCACTAGTCGTGCTACTGTTGAGCTAAACTATACACAAAATGCCCTATTACCCAAAAGTCAGTAATATGTCTGATTTGTGAGTACTGATAACAAAGCCCTAATCGAAAGGCGCATCTGTTTATTAATGTGCCCTAGTGAGCAGTACATTATGATAAGATTAAAATCTTAAAATTATTCAGAGGAAGTGTTTTAGAACTCATCTGGCTAGTGCGGCTGAAATAGGGATTCAGACTCCATGCAGGTTAATAGCACGTTGAAGGTGGGCAAAATAGTACTCGAGCATAAGCTGGTGCATAATCATCAAAACAAATCTTGAAACACCCAAGGTATCCACAGATAGGCTAGACACTGATCTAGTCAATATTAAGTTCTGTTTGATCCATTAATTTTGACCCTAGGTTTATTTTCGGGTCGTGTAAGGTGCACTACAGGTGAACTGCACATTAAATTATCAGTTCCACCAACTGTCCTTCGATTATACAGTGCCAGATGGTCTATAAGAATAAAAACCTTGTAAAAGAAAAGTGCCAGTAGAGTTTCTACACAGCGTTTATCTTTAGATTTGGGTTTTAATCTTCTGCTGGTCTACCAAATTTCCGTTACAATCAGACATCACTCAACCACGAAAGTTCTGTAAATATTGGCAAAATGCAACTAAATGTCTAAAGCGTTGAAGAGAGGAGGCGGCGACCTACCAAATCTCCCTTATTCTCATGTTTTGACACACAACATATTAAATTGAGCTGTGAAAGAAATAATGTAGGAGTTGCAGACTCATTCTTCACCTTTTAAAATGATTGGATTGTAATATTGCAAGATCTAATAATGTAACCAAGTAGCTCTTCATAATCGACACTTAAGCGCTTTGAATATGATGTAGCTTTTTGAAAAGAAAAGAATGAAATAGCGACAAGTCGAACTAATTCCTCTACTTATGGAATCATATGCGAACCATAAATACCATTATTTCCACGAATCACACATCTGCAGACATTGATGTCTGGTGTTCATAAATGTAACTGAACATAACGTTTCGTTTCTAGGCTTAAAAGTGGTCATAAGTTTAAACACAGATTGTACAATGTACATATGTCGCATCGAATACAAATTTTGATTAGCAGTAGCGGGCTTTCGAAAGTTTGAGAAATGTCTAGCGTCAGTACTCGGAGTTCTCGGTCCAGGAACGTGGCGAGTGATGAACAAACATCAGCCGACTTGCTAAGCACCGGCACAACACATGAAAGAACTGGAGAGTCAAGCCATCGTCGCGCGAGATCAAGGCGCTCCCGGACTGGTCAAACCGATCCCATTAGCAATGCAGTTAGTACATTTTTTAAATATGTTTCTGTTTCTGTGGAAGTATTGAGCGATGAGATGTAATGTGCGTAGCCGATTTTAGTGTAGATATATGAATATGTCAGTTGGAAGCTCCGCAGTCATGTGAAAAACTGAGGTTTATTCCATGTCATATGAAAAGCACGACAGTTGGAATTTAAAAGATCAGAAATTAACGGTTTTTGGATTATTGGTAGTTTCATTTAATCTCGTGTTGTGTGGACTGACATAGTCAGCAATTATGAATTTAAGGACAGTGTTAGGTTAGGATGGAAGACCAACAGATGGAGGTACAAAGTTCCGTCATTAGAAATGGCTATGATAGGTATTACGTATCCTGACCCACCACATTCTTCAAACAGTAGTGTTAGTTGATTGTGACTAGATTCACGTAGAATTAGATGTGTTGGGACGAAAACATGAACCCAATGTATAAAGTCGTTGACTGTTGGTTTGAGCAGCGTAGAGAGTTGTAGACTGAGTTTCTGAGGTCTTTGAGATGCAAAGAATGAATGGTTAGAGACTGTTACTATTATAGCTGAAAGTCGTTTGTAATAGTACAGATATATTCCTTGTCGTTTTCTAAATTCTGAAGTTCCTATATAATGGCTTAGTCATTCGCCAAAGCATATTCTTCCATTGTAGTTTCATTACGTTCCTTTACCCCATTTCTGTGCGTGCTTTTATGAAGTATGGCAACTTGAAATGCTACATTCCATGTAGCTCTACCTCGATATGTTAAATTGTCTGAAAACAGTCAGGTTGCCGAGAATATAAAACTCATCTAGTAGCTGTTGATTTCTTAACAATTGTGGTTCCCACTAGCTGCATTTCACCAGTTGGACTGGGGATTGGTTTTGTCAATAAGTTTATAGGAATCCGAATGGATATCTAAGTAAGTCATATTTTAAAGTTGTGGGTAACAGTATCATAAAGATAACAAACAGTTGAGGGAAATACTTGTGATTACAGATGTGCTGCATTATTATAGCGATATTTCATGCTTCAGGCTGAGCCACATAGTGTCTATCATGCAGCCGCACTGGCCGGCAGCTTGTAAAGTTCTAACTTGATCTACCAACTCGAAGGCAAGTGGTGTATAACAGTTTCATTTAAAATACTTCTTGAAGCTGTGAAACAGATTTAAATTCCAGAAGGCAGTTAGGAAATTACGACCTAGAAAATTGGAGTAGTGCGTTTCGTGGACCGCGACGGATCATAAGACAAATTTGGCTTCTTTTTACTGAGGACAATGCTAGTTACAAGCTGTAGTATTAAATTTGTTGGCAATGGTATCATACTGATACATGCTTTTGATAAAATATATGGGAACAGTTTAGTCCATTCGAATGGGATAGATGACTGAGATAGCTAAGACAGGCGTTACGATTTCCTTATCATCGCCTTCCTCTACGGGTTATGTTAGCCTACCTGGAATTAGGTTGCAAAGAGATGTGCTCATACCCAAACTTAGCACCAATCCATGCTATCTTTGACAGTCTGAGACGAGGAGGGAGGTGTAAACTGCCTTGTTGGGTTCCTCAGGGTTCTAAGGACCAATGGCTGGTGACTACTGAAGATATGGCTCAAAATCGTTCTCACTGGCGCATACGCATTCACTCCTTTTGACCGCTCACATCCATGAAACCCTAGTGTTTTCTATGCTACTATTATTTCTCCCGCACATTTCTCTTTTTTCCTCTCGTTTCTCCAGCTTTATGTGCTACACGGAGTATGGCAACCTAAACTGATGCTCTTCTGTGCTAAAATCTTTGTTGAAACTCACTCAGTCAGTCAGGTCTTTTCTAATAAGTTAGGGTCAGTCGGTAGGATTTCATTTTACAGAAGGCATTTATTTATATATCCAGCTGTTTTACCGGTTCTACCAACTGTCATCCTTCCTAAGGCTTTTAGCCTATAGAATGACTATGAATTGAAAGATAATTGTGTTTTGCTATTACGCGGTGTTTTACAACTCTCAAACGGTAGTTTAGATAACATGCAACCTGTTTGTTGAAGGTATCAGATGTGGTCTAAAGTCAGTATGATTTTTCGATATGCACTTCTTGTTTCTTCTACTATCAACAGTCATCACAAGAGCCATCAAAACACTTCTCTGGATGTGTCTTAAGCTAGTTTTTATCCAATCGTTCTATTGTCCTCTAACCCTTGTTTCTTATCGTCATTACATTACTCAATGCATTTGCTAATACATATATACTGTACCCTGTTTTTTTAACCGAAATAAAGTAAACAGAGAAGGCCCTCTTTAACCATTTTCATCACAATTCTTAAAAACCCTCAATGAGAATAAAGCGACTGTGTTTTTTTCAATACGAGAATAGAATATTTGGAAATCTTGGTGAGATATAGAATGTTAAGATAATCAAAATAGCAAGGCTTAAGGGCGTAGTGACATTGTTGTCCCCTATGTGTTGATAATTTATTTATTGGCCATAGAAATCATTGTAAAAGGTAGATGCATACGAAATGGTTTTATGTGCGAATTTAAGCACCACCATCTGAGGAATCACTGTCAATTTGGTGATACCTGCCATCGTATTTTGTGTTTGCTTGTTTTTTATAGAATAATATCGGTGTTTTTAAATGATGAATGTGATATGTGTTTTCGAATGTTTCAGGAACCTACATCTGGTCTTCGCACATCTGAAGTGGAACCAGGAAGTCCTTTGTCGTATAGTGACATGTCTAGTGTGGCTACTGTGGTGGGAGAGGATGTTTTAAGTTCAGTTAGACCTGGTGTCAATGATGAGTTGGCTGTTCGAGCTGTTTTATCTCAATCTGGACGGCTTATTCCTGCAACGACTGGTGCACTTGGAACTACTGATGCATCAACTGCTAGTGGGCCTCAGGTATTTCTTAAGTACATTAGACATTGTCTGTTTTGCGATCTTTTTTTTTTACTAAGTATTTCTATTCATGGTTTCTATCAAAGGCATTGTCCTTTTTGATACACAGTCTTGAAGTGTTGTGAATTAGATCCTATGGGCTTGCCGATTGAGCACATATCTTAATATCTTAACTTTATTAGGCTTTCGTAATTGTCTATGGCGAAATATAGGAACGCTCGAAGGAGATTATTGAGGAGCTTGAATTTGTAGTTTAGAGTTCCTCGGAGTTAGTGAATCTAGACTATGGAATTGCAGCGGGGTAAGATATCTTCTATCACCAGTAAGAACTTCTTTTACTGTTTGGTATTTTAACATGTTAAGCATTTTACCCTTGGTCAACTTCATTTAAATACTATGGCTGCTTATTCGATCGAGTCGTAGTAAATACCTGGAATAATTGACTTTCCCAAAAATAAACAAGGATGATCTCTATAGTACGAAGCTGTTTCTACAAGATGACACACAAGCGATACAGATTGACACTTCTTTTCAGAAACTGTAGATCGATGTGAAACAATCGAACATTCACTATGAAAATTAATTGCTGTTTTAATTTGTCATGTGATTTGCAAGGACTAGGAATGCTGCTCCTGTGGGGTGGCTGAATCGGTAGATTAAAAGAACTGTATTAACCAGCAACAGAAGAGAGTAGAGTGAAATGATGTCTGCAGTTGCTTAAAGCAAACACTTTAAATTGTCCTTGAGGTGAGAAAAAATATTTATAGAATGCTGGTAATCTTAGGGAAACTATCATCAGTACCAACATCACTTTGCGATTTTGCTGGTTCTTCACACCGTAACTATAATTCATCCAGGTGACCTTCTTGACATAATACTCCCACGGAATATCTCTTCAAACTAAGCAGAATTATGTGACACTACCGGGATGGATAAATGTGATTACGACGTCTATGCGTCGGTGTTTCAGCGGTACAATGCTCACCAACCACACATGTTTGAGGTTCAATCCCCGACCAACTCATTCCTAAACCTCTCTAAACCGGTAGTGAGGCTAGCAAAAGTGGGGTCGGGCGTGAGGCTAGCAACCCTACTTATACCGAAAATGCAAAGCTCTAGCTTGAGGCCTTATGTTCCACTGGAGATGTAAAGGAATAAAAAATAAAATAATAAATAAAAGACGACCTCTGTGCTCTTGCAGAGTGTGGCAGCTTGGAATGAGATACATTTTTTTGAAGAGTTTTGCATTAATTTATCTGTTTCACCGGCTGTGAGTAACAGCTATTGTTCAGTTTTCTTCAACTCGGATGAATGAACTGTTGTATTTAAGAGTATGACCACCTATGTTCAATTCAAAACAAAAAGAAACGCTCATTACACATATAAAACTCACTTCAACAGTCAGTAATATTTATACCAATTATTTCTGTATATATACATGTCTATATGTTTTTGTTTGCTTATGAATTTATTTCAGACGGTTATATGGGGTACTGATGTAAATATTGCTCAAGTGATGTCAAGATTCAAACACTTCCTACTGACATTCATTCCTACAGACTTGACAGGTCAACCAAACTTAACTACTGGTCAACCTATCGATCCAGAAAGACCTCTTTACCTGCAAAGAATGGAGGATCTAGCAATATCCGGTTCAACTGCCTTAGATATTGACTGTGAACATCTTCGTTCGGCTAGACCAGAGTTATACACCCAGCTAGTAACTTTCCCGAAAGAAGTTATTCCTGCGTGCGATGCTGCTACACACGCTTTGTTTGTAGATCGTTTCCGTGAAGTACAGCTGGAAAGAGCGATACAGGTAATTCAAAAAATAATCTAATGTTGTCTAATAAAATAAATTGGTCTTCACGTAAATCATTTTTCTTTAACCTTAAATGTTGCTTAAAACATTAGAAATGATAAATCATTACTTGTATTCAGGCAAGAAGCAGTAGTCTGAGTCTTACACTATTGCTTTCTAAATATCTGCCTAAAACATCAAATTTAAGATGGCGTACTTATCTTTGAACTAATTCAATTTCCCCTTAGGTTATCCATTGCGTTCGTAGAAGAGTTGATATGAAGTAGTGCCGAATACTGATACCTTTCACTTACTAAAGAGTATGTTTATTGTTATTGAATTTCACAGCTGCTCTCTGGAACTATGTTATATTATTACGAAGGGTATTAAATGCTGTGAGTAGGGCTAGTGGTTTGCCACTGCGTGAGCTCTCCAATACTATAGTCGAGAGACATAAATTCCTGTACAAAGTGGGCAAAGGCCGTACTGTCAGACCCTCTGCACCCCTTTTATTCACAACTATCCCCTTGCATCTCATCAGGTAGGACGAGAAGTCAATGTAAGAAGTTATATGCTCGAACCATTTAGTACAAAAATTCTACAACACCGTATTTAGCCCGTATTTTATGTGATGAAGACTCTGTTAGACGTGAAACATATAAGTTACTATGTAATTAGAAAAGTGAATCGACCCTTTCATTGTTCATCTTTCTGTAATTTTATGGTGTCACCCTTTCTATCGTTTAATTACAACTTAGCTATTTTATTTTAGTTGTTATTACTATTATTACTACAATTTCATACTTTATGCATATTTTTCTCCGTATTGCATACAGAAATTTGTGAAGTAGCTGCTATAACAATGTTTTGTTATTATTATTATGTAATGTTTACTTTTTATTTTTTGTCGTTTTTGAGTAAATTAGATGCAATATTGTACTGAATGCTGAAAATTCCTTGCTGTATCATTAGTACTGTTTTTGGAATAAAGCAAATTATTATTATTATTATTAAAAAACTATCTGTTAAGGAGAGATGTTTCTGAGAAGTTTGTTAACATCCTGATAGCCCTATATATAAACGCTTCAGGTAGAGTGAAGGCATACAACCAGCTATCGCCTCTGTTCTCATTCAACAGTGGGGTTAGACAGGGTTGCCCAGTCTTTCCAATCCTCTGTAACTTTGCTATTGATGACATTCTTCAGATAGCTCTAAGTGACGTGTATGGCGGTGGTGTAGGTCTGCTTCCTGGAGAAAGACTTTTCAACCTCGAGTATGCAGACGATATCGTTTTACTGTACGGTAGCATGCAGGCTGCTCAAATCGCACTTCATCAGTTGTGATCAGTGTCTGTAAGTATGGTATGTGCTTTGCAAAGTATTGTTTAAAAACTGGCAGAAGCCTGTATCTGCAATCACCCTTGCAGGTGGACCGCTTGAAGTTGTCGGCAAGTTTGTGTATCTGGGCAGTTACGTGAGTGCTCGCGGTGTGACGGACGAGATATCTAAGTGTTTAGTGGAAGCATATGTGTTAGGCTCCAATTTGGCATCACCTCTGGCGTCGTGACGACATCAACCTAGCTGTAAAACGCCGTGTTTACAATGCTGCGGCACGTACATTCTTGCTGGTACGCCTGTGAAGCCTGACCTCTCTGAGCTGAGGCTGTGGGGCGACTGTGTATTCGATCATTGCTGCCTCCGCTTAATTGCTTACGTCCGATGGCATCATCGCGTAAGTAATTCTCAGGTCTGGCAGCGTGTGTTTGGATACAGTTGACATCACCATTCACTGAGTCTCGTTATCTGGAAATACGAGTACCTCGAGGCTTCCGTACCGGTCTCTGTTCACTAGCCCTGGGACAGTATGGAATAGGCGGAGAGGTAATCGGCCTACGACGTGGGGTCGTGGGCTGAAGGATATCTTTGTTAGGTTGGCATTTATTGGTAAATCACGACTCCATCGGTGGGGTTCCGAAGATAATTTAAATCGGTTGCTCGGGAAATTATCAGACACGACCAGAAATCGCAACTAATAGCTATCGTGCTGCCATTTTCTTCTTTCTTCGACTTCGAAAAGTAATATGAGGTAATGAATAATGAATAATCTTGACAAGTATGCTTGCTTGCTTCCTGGATGGTGTCCCTCACTTCTTCTATCTCTATTTTCCTTGCATACTGTTATTATTATTATTTTTGAGTGGTGCCCACAATGTACCATGTTGCTGTTCCTGTAGTAATAATAATAGATTCAATTTCAGATATTTTACGATTGTAATTTGTTTGAGTGTAGTTGCAGTATGCCTAGAAATATTATTCTTATCATTTTGATAACTCTTTGTTGCTTATTCTTTAAATTATCCCACGTATTATATTGTTTTATTTATAGATTCGTCCGTTCAACTGTGCGCGATCACGTGATTTACGTAGTCTTGATCCAAGCGATCTTGATCAACTTGTAACTGTTACAGGACTTGTAATCCGATTGTCTCCTCTAATTCCTGAAATGATGCGAGCTGAATTCAAATGTGCTATATGCGGTGCAATGCAATCCGTCCCATGTGAACGTGGACGTATCGCTGAACCTGAAGCATGTATTCGTTGTCATTCAGCGCATACAGCTCAGTTACAGCATAATCGTTGCTTATTTGTGGATAAGCAGATGATTAAACTACAGGTTTGTTCAATGTTGTTGTTAATTTTATTGTGTTGTGTACACTACTCAATATGTTTATTTTTGTATATTGTAATTGCAATTAGTTCCATTGATATAAGTTAGAATTCACAGTCCATTGGACTCCATTCCAAGTGACTGAGGATGGTTAATGAGCTCGCCTCGTAACATGATGGGCGTTGGTTCTATTCCTGATGGGATCATAGATGAATACTGCTGGAGAGTCTCAGTGTGGGACAAAACAACTGTCCAGTACAACATGGTTTCCGATGGTCTTCTAACTGGTTTCAATCCGTCACCAAACTTGTAGCCAATCAAATCCTTACAAACTACCACTTCGAAATTAATCTAATCCTCACTAGTGACTGATTATAGGATGCTGTTACCTGGAGTCCTAGTGAGAGGTCGTGACCGGTTGACTTCATCGGGTTGAGTGTGAGAATAAATACTGGCTGATAATATTGGCTGATGGTAGCACTATGTATTGTGAGTGGGCAGCAGTTAAAATTCATGGGCCATTGGATTTAATTTTCAATGGCGGAGTGGTCAGTGGACTTTTCTTGTGTAACCTGAAGGTTCCAGGTGGGATCTTTGGTGAAATCACAATCCCATACGATTGAAGAGCCCTAGACTCGGACGAGGCAGCTGTCTAGTACTCCCTGTTTTCAATGGTTCTCTAACGGATATCTTCGTGAATAAAATTGGAATGGAAGTTACTCATCAGAGGAATTTTATCGCATTTATCTACTTATTATTGTCATTACTTACTATCATAATATTCATTAATTTTACTTTTCAAATGTCTCTGTGTACAGGAGTCACCGGAAGATATGCCTTCCAGTCAAACACCGCATACAGTTCTTATGTATGCTCATGAAGAACTTGTTGATAAAGTACAACCCGGTGATCGAGTTGTTGTCACAGGCATTTATCGTGCTATACCATTACGAATGTCTAACCGAATGCGGACATTGAAAGCAGTCTACAAAACTTACATCGATGTCTTACACTTTCTGTGAGTTTCATTTTTGTTTCCTTTTGAGTTTGGGTTACTCATACATTATCTCTTATATAGGGGTGGATGGGTAATGAAATGGTTTCAGGGGAGAAAAAAGACGTTCCCTGTGGTTTGAATATTATATTTTGGTTTGGAAAGTGAACTACTATGGGATTTAAGGTTTTAGTATCCTGTTGGTGTTCTCTTGGATTCCGAGTAGAACATAGGGTTTTAACAGCACTTCTCTACTTTGTCCTATTCTTTGCAGTCCTCTTAAGCTGACCTCACGATTGCTCATAGTCTCTCATCTCCTCCATGTCAGTCTTGGAGACAGGCCCAACTCGTCGTTTCCCATTCGAGATCCACTCACGGGCCTGGCCTGCGATGTCATTTGACTCTGTCTTCAGTGTGTCCGATCCATCTTCATCTTCGAAATATTTGTTGAGCAATAGGTTCTTCTTTGGTTCGTTCCCAGGGTTTCTTGTAACTAATTCTTTCCAGTCGGCCATCCGATCCTCAGTGTGGAGCCAGCGAAGGGGGCAGCTGTTGATAAAAGTTTGCGTAGTCTGTTGGAAACGCTTTACGTGACGCGCCAAGTTTCTGATCCATGTAAAAGAACTGACCTAACGTTGGTGTTTCATACTTAGCTTGAATTATGTATTCAGTTGAGATATGATTTGGTTTCAAGTGTCACTCAAGTAGCAAGCTACAATTCGTATACTTCCAAACTTTTAGTATGAATATGTCATGGTACATGGCTAAAGACTCATATTTATAGATCAGTTAAGTTATCATTCGTTGTTCAGGCCAGTAGTTTCATCATCATAAGTCGAAAATTCGCAATTTACAATTTATACATTTGGGAGGGGACGGGGGGGGGGATGAAATTTCATCACAGTTTCCGGACAAGTTAAAGAATAGTGACCCGGTAGTGTGTGTGTGTGAACGCACCAATAACCTTGAACGAATATTATTCGTTGGATGACAGAACCCACCATTATTATAGGACAATCATGAACACTGTACACGAATTAAGGTGCACATTTCATCCCTGTACATCGTCTTTAAGTACTGTTTAGATAATGTGTTGATAGCTCGTTAGGGCTGGGGTTAAGATTAAGCTTAGAATTAGAGTTAGGGTGTTTATTGTCTGTATCTTGCTAGTAAATAAACAGCAGTTTTGTGTAAAGGACACCGGTTATTCTGATTGGTTGCCTCAAAGTCAGTCGTACGTTCGCATTGCTCGGGCCGCTGTTCTTTGACTTTAACCAATATCCATTGGAAACTGAAAGTATTCAGACTAGAAAATGTGATCTGCTTGGTACTGTGACTGACTGAGTCTCAGTATAGTAGAACGTTGCACACGTTAGTGTAGTAGTTCAAGTTGCCGCACTCCGTGTGATAGACGAAGGTAGAGAAGAGGAAAAAAGAGGTTCAAAAGAACTCTAAAGGACAGAAATGTGCATTAGAAAGAATAGTAACATTATCACAAATGGTAATGAAGAAAGCAAGCAAGAATACACAACGCTGTATACAACTGATTGATTGAGATGAGTAGTTGTTTATCACTCACTTGGTAGTCAGATTTAAGTGATATGAACACCGAGTGGCCGCTTTGTTCGTTTCGGGGCACTACTGGTAGATGTGAGTGTTATACAACCACTCCCCTCAGTTAATCAATAGTACAGCGTCGTGCATTTCCATCATCTTACGGAGTACTACTGATTAGCATTGAGTAGTATATATTTGATAAAAATACACCAATTCCACATTAAGATCATCTGTAACTTATTTATTGTACTTTCAACAAAAGTTGACATATACACATTAAATGTTCCAGAGATTAAAAACAATATTTTTATATTAATTGTAATAGAAAAATTATGAATTGAAAGCATGTTATAATTATGGTGTTAAGATTTACAGTAATCACCTTAAAAACATCCCGACCGATATCTGCTACGTTGATGTAGTGGACAGGCTTGCATATCCCAATGAACCAATTAGCTACACTGGTTGGGACTAATGTTCCTGTAGGTTCTACCATTCCAGGAAGGTTGTTCAGATAACGCTTGGAATGAAAGCAGTTACTACCGTAGTGTATGTTGTTTACATGGAAATATGTCATATCGGCTTAAGCATTTGACTTTCAGTCAGTGGGTCCCGGGTTCGAGTCCCGCTGCTCTCCCCTGCTTCAGCCTGGGCAGCTGAGTAGTATCATTAGCCAGCCCCTTCTCCACAGTAAGTGCTGCTTATAGCCTAGTATTGAGTGCATTATGTTAGGAATGCTGTCGGTGAAGTCGTACTGCTGACGAATGTAGGGGGATGTAACAGCTGCAAAGTGTTTCCCTCAGCTGAATACAAAGTCCCCAACTATCCGCCTCTCTGCTCTGAAGAGCGTAGGGGGGGGGTTGGAAAAGATTGTCCCCGAAAATGGTACATCCCAACTTACCTTGAGGCGGCAGTTTGTAGCTAGCCGTAAGATACAACTTTAAAAATCACTTCAAACAAGCCATGTGTGATCCAAGCCTGAAACACAGTTGTCCACTGGGCGCAACACAAAGCTTTCCATACGCGCAAAGCCCTAGAAGTTGAATTATTCATTATCGGTACACTTTTTTAGTCTATCAGTAATTCGATGTTTGTTTGTTTGCTTCTCTGTAGTCGTGAAGGTGATGATCGAGCGCACAATGATCAATGGGTTACTGATGAAAAGACTACTGTAGAGGCACGTATTCTACGTGAGTTTACAGAGGAACGGATTGAGGAATTTCATACACTGGCTCGTAAACCTGATCTTTATGAACGTCTTACAGCAGCTATTGCACCTACTATCTACGAAAATGAAGATGTCAAGAAGGGTATACTGCTCCAGGTATATGAAAGCTTTATTTCTTTGATTGAAAGTGTAAATATATATATATATATATATATATATATGATTTGGATTCTTTCCTGTCGGCTCGTTGGCTTTTTTAAAGTGCTATTGATGTCAATCATTAGGTTTAATACTGATTGATGTTTGTGGACGTGTTTAGTTTAGTTTTCCATTTCTTTGAGTTCTGAGTGTGGAACATAGGCTGGTTGGCTCTGCAAGCTTGAGCTTTTCGGTTTCACTAGCTGTGGCGTCTACTTTTTTTACGGAGTGAGGTTGCTAGCCTTCGCATCCAATCTCCGCTCTTTATTACCTGAACTACTCTTGGCTAAGTGAGGTTTAGGAGAGTGGGTTGGCAGGGGATCGAACCTCGGACCACGTGCGTGGTTAGCGACTATTCTGCTATTGGACTTTACCAGTTCACAATAATTTTTTAGAAGTACATTACTTTCATGAGGTGTTAAAGCTTCCTTATACTCATGTAACTATTTGTGTCTCCAAAAGGTTTTTCTCTTCTCTTGTAAACTAAAACAAGCAAATAGAAATTCTAATTAAATAGTAAATCTGTGTCGATATCTCACACTCAAGGTAATTTCAAACTTGGTAATAATTATTCTGGGTCATTGTCTTTTACTAATTCTGATGACAGGTTGTGTCTGAAGTCACCTATAAAAACCTTCACAAATTCATTAACGCTTATACATTCTTCAGCTGTATCCTATTTCAAGCTGTCACTTGATAGTAGTAATTAGTTGCTGCGTGTGATAGAAGGCTAGTTAAACTCTTCTAATCGTTCTATTCGTGAGTCGATGGTCTGCAGGGGGGGGGGGTAGAATGCTGGCCAACTATGCATAAGATCTGGGATTCGATCCTTGGTATTAACTCCGGTGAAGAAGGAAGGTTGGGTGTAAGGCTAGGGAAATCATCGCTACTGAAACTTTAGCTCAAAACGCTTGAAGCCCCCCCCTTATTTTCCACTTGGAACGCAAAGGAATACAGAAAAATTGTTCTATCCATTGTAAGATCGCTCACCTAACTTCTCAGTGATCGATCCCCGTTGGTTATTAAGACTTAAGGAACTTCAAACTTGGGAAAATGGTTTAGTCTTCGATATACGCGCCAGCCTTGTTCTCATCCTCGTCCAAAACTTGAAACACCAGACCAATCATTCTAGATGTCTTGTAATAATATCCATCACTCAAAGAGCTGCTTGATGAGAGCGAAATCCTTCACTGGACTACTGATGGCCAGCTAGCATTGTATTTTCCTTCCTTGGCAAAGTGTTCTAAACTGTGTTACTTGCATATCAAATGTATAGTTGAAATAATCTAAGCATAATTTCTACATGTATTATTTATCTGTTATTAATTACTATCAAACATTTCATCTGATTTTGTTATTCCACAGTTATTCGGTGGTACACGTAAAGATTTCACTGCAAAAGGACGTGGTGATTTTCGTTCTGAAATCAATATATTATTGTGCGGTGATCCTGGTACCTCAAAATCCCAACTCCTTCAGTATGTGTATCGCCTGACACCTCGTGGTCAGTACACTTCTGGTAAAGGAAGCTCTGCTGTAGGCTTGACAGCTTATGTTACAAAGGATACGGAAACACGTCAGCTAACGTTACAAACGGGTGCACTAGGTTAGTTGACGTATATGTGTAACTATTGTTATCATTATTATTTTTATTTGACTCTATCTACCAAATAGGGATAGTTAACACATAGAGGTTGACTTGAATGAACTTTAATTCCAGTTCTCATTCTGATACATTGTGAGAATAATATCGACAGTTGGAAGATGCCTGTCCGTTTCTGTTGTCTGTTTTGCGCTACTGGCGCTGTCGCGACGTTATCCTTACTGTCAGAGCTCGGGTTTTACAATGCTTCGGTGCACACAGTCTTGCTTTACGCCTGTGAAACCTGGCCTTTCCATACTGAGGATGTGCGACGACTCTCTGTATTTAATCGTTGCCGCCTCCGTAGAAGTGCTTGTGTTCGATGGCATCATTGTGTCAGTAATTCTGAGGTCCGGCAGCGTGTGTTTGGACACAGTAGAGGTCACTGTTCATTGAGTGTCGTCATCTGGGAACACCGGTCTCGGTGGCTTGGACACGTGCTACGAATGTCATCTCAGAGGCCTCCGTACCGGTCTCTGTTCTCGAGCCTTGGGGCTGGATGGAAAAAGCAGAGAGGTAGTCAGCGTATGACGTGTGGCATGGTGGTATGAAGGATATTTGTGTTAGCTGAGCATCGGTTGGTACATCATGACTCCTTGGTTGGGGGTCCGAATGATAGTTCGAATTGGTAACTCGAAACGTTTTATTAGATATGGGTAAGAATCTCAATCAATGGCAAACGTGCTGCAACCTCCTTTTTTCCTCCCTTTCTGGCAGTAATTCGATGAATGTTGTTTGATCTTGTTAACCATAGTTGCTTCCTTTCTGGATTAAGTCCTTTATTCATTCTCCCCTACCTTCTTTATATATTGTTGTTTTATTATTACTGTGTGGTGCATCTCCTCGGTGCCTACAGTGTTCCAGGTTGTGTTTTAAATAAATAAAATATATAATTCACTTCATGTTATCTCGATTCTGTAGTCATCAGTGTCAGCTATTTTGTCCGTCGTGGTCAGGAAGACAGTCTGTGTTCTTCTGCAGAGTGTGGATCAATAGTCTAAAACTTTATGTACTGATATCATATTTTCTCCGAGTAGAGATGACTTCTTTGTAGTTAGATACAGTTTCCGACAAAAACGCATCGGTGTTATTATTATCATTCCCTTGGGACTTGAATAGCACGTCTCCATCCTGTCCTATTTTCTGCGACTCTTTTTAGCTGACCCCACGTGGTCCATTTTATTTGACCTCCTATTCACAACATCTCCATTTCACCCGCGGGAACTAACCCAACTCATCGTTTTCCATTCGGGTTCCACTCGAACACTGGCCTGACACGTGATGTCATTCGATGGTCTCCTCAGTGTGTGTGTGTCCTATCCGTCTCTATTTTCATCGTATATCTTGTTGAACAGTTTGTCCTTCATTAGTTCTTCCCCAGAGTTCCTTGTTGTTTATATTTATATCTACCCATTTTATCCTAAGTATGGAACCACCGATGACAGCTGTTGGTTATGGTGGTCTGCATTAGCCTGTTGAAAGCGCTTATTGTGACACATTAAGTTTGTAACCCTTGTAGAAGCACTGACTGCTAACTTAACATTGGTGTTCAAAATCCGAATTTTGTTCTCTGTTCTGTGTGCAGAAGACTCGCAAACTGATTTCAGGGAGATGATTAACCAGTCTTGCCTTTCCGACTCTTTCTGGCTTTGACATATTCATCCGTTCCGCGTGTAGTTGTAGAAGGAAGTAACGTCATTCAAATTTCTTCCGTTGATAGTGGTTGCTGCTGGTTGTTGCTGTTGGTCAGTAGTCTTCTTCACCTCAATTTTCTCTATGTTCACTTGATGTTCTGTGATCGCTGCTTCTTCAACCAGTTTATAATAGCTAATCACATAAATAAGCGTATATCCGAGTCACTTTACTTGATCTCTAACATCGTGGGATTTAAGTTCCCTATGCTTGACCTATTCATTGTTGACACCGTCTAGAAAAGGTATGTAAAAGTCATTTAGTTTATTACATTGTAAGGCAAATTTTCTTCTCCTCAAAAGATTTTTAATATATACATTTCATGGAGGATTTCATAATGAGCTGACATCAGTTAGAGAAACACTGAAAAACCTATAGGAAGTACTGGACAGCTGTTTCGTCCTAGTTTGGGGCTCTTCATCAGTACGCACCCACCAGAGTTAGAACCCAGGATCTTCTGGTTACAAGGCGAGCTAGCTCGTAGACCATTGAGCCACTGGGACCCGATCCAGTGGCCCTTGAATTCTAACTTCTGCCAATTCACGACATAGTGCGACTATTTCGTCCCAAACTAGGACGAAACAGCTGTCCAGTACTCCCTGCAGGTTTTCCAGTGGTTCTCGAACTGATGTCAGCTCATGCAGAAATCCTCCACGCAATCAAACAAAAATCCCTACGAAACCAATACTTGAAAATATACATTTCACCATAAAATGTAACTTTGATAGAAAAGATTTTGTGAACTCAGATGGATAATTTTGATATACCTTTTTTCAAATTATGAGAAATACCCATCCAGGGGGGGCGGCGACATTAAAGTCAAAAGAAACAAAAGAGGTTCAGGCGACAAGTATCTATCTTTTCGGCGATTTCATCTTCAAAGGCAGCAGATATATAATCGTCAATTTTTTTACATATAAATCTACATAGTTACAATTATTGTTACTTAATTCAACGTAATAATGAAGGGAGATAGTAATTTTCAGTTTAATATGAAAGTTTGAAGGTGTGTGAATATATATAGGTCACAAGAGACATAGAAACAAAAATACATAATATGTGAAATAGCCTTTTTTTAATGAAGACAGCTGTGAACATGATCAGCATAGAAACAAATTGTGATATGATAGTTCTTGTCATAACTGAAGCTGAATAAAACGAAAACTAGGCAGCTAAACAAACGGAACTAGATCCATAGAAAATGTAGAGGTTGTGGCATAGGTTTCTTTAGAATACATACTTTCACCTTCTTAATGGATATGTATGGCGAGGACTTCTGGAGTGAGTACAAAGAAGTCGGAAACACACTGCCTTTTGGTAGATTTTTGTTCACTTTGTAAATGACTGTGATCAGTGAGTGAGTCAGTTGAAATGCTGTGACATGTGTGTTGATGAGGTATTCAATTATACTGCTTGTGAATGGAGACCAGTGCCGTGCCTCTACAGTCATGCTGGGTAATGACCTATGCATCTAACTGGCCAATACAAGTTGAAGACATGAAAAGGTTGACTGTTTTCGATCATAGATGTCTACGATCTCTTTCTCACGTCAGGTGATATAATAAGGTAAGTAATGTTGACGTTAGGCGTAGAGTGTTGGGCAGAGAGGGAAAATCAATCGAAGAGGTTATAAAGTTACATAGATTGAGATGGCTAGGTCACGTGCTGCGCATGCCTAACCATCGCCTCCCCCGACGGACGGGCATTACTAGCTGATATAGGTGCAGGTTGGAAAAGAGTAAGTGGTGGCCAAACAAAAACATGGCCTCATCAATCCATGAAATCCTTGACAGTTAAACTGAGTCAGGTAGGGAGATGCAGACTTCCGGGTTGGGGCCCGCCCTCGGGACTCTAAGAATCATTGGCTGGAGACAATAGGTGACATGGCTGAAAATCGTTGTCAATGGCTTACGCAGATGTATTCAGTCTCTGTAGTCTTTCATATTCCTTTCTACCATTCCTCATTCTGTTTCACTCTTATACTTGTCAAAACTCTATTGATTCTCTTCACTCATCTTCTTGTCTACCTTTGTGTGGTATTTGGAACGTGGCTACTGGAACTGCTGCACTTCGGTGCCAAGTTCTATATTGAATCCAGACAGACAGCATCTAACTGATGTATGCACATTGAAGTAGTCATATGGCGGGACTTTGTCCTTCTTATTGCTTAGAAGCAGTGGATGGCTAGAAAATATCACGCATAGAAAAGGTTTTCTTCTGCGAGAATGAAATCGCAGGAGAGATATCTTTGCTAAGCTGAGCTGAGCTGAGCTTGTTCTTGTTCTTTTCCCTATAATTGTATAATTGCATTATCTGAACTGGATGTTTGAAAGATGAATGTCCAAGGGGGAAGGAGACAATGAAAGCTTCACCATTGTAAACCATCCGGCCTAGAGGATACAACTGCACCCAAAATGTAACTATACAGTCCTTTCTCAGAGCCAGTAGCTGATGTTGTCAGTAATTCTGTATTAGTGTTGTTTACGGGAATCAAAATGGAATATGCAATAAGAATTGAGGATTTTGTTTCATTGACTTACACTCAACTGTATTAATTCATGATAAGTGACATATCTTCTTATCATCTCAAGGCGTATATAAATACAAATCTCTGTTAACAATAGCTCTAATGCAATAACAGGTGTAGCTTCATTATCTGGTAAACTAACTAACTTGTATGTTCATGAATAATCCCCCATATAGACATAAATGAAAAGAACAAAACACGCGTAGTTCAGCGAAGAGGCTTTTTTCGGCAAATTCATTTCCCTCTTTAGCTTTACAATTACATTTATATACTATCTCTTTTTTTGGCGCGTCATAAAGAGCATCTCAAACAAACTACAGACCTTCATTAACAGCCATTTGTCTTCGCTCAGTACTCAAGATCAGATGGCCGGCCAGAAAAGATCAGCAACAGGGATCTCTGGGAGCGAACCAACACAGCAGGAACCGATTGTGCAACAAATATGCAAAAAGAAATGGAGATGGATTGGCTATACTCTGAGAAAACGAACCATCATCAAGTGACATAACAAGACAAGCCATTGCTCGAGTGGAATCCGAACGGGAAGCGGTGAGTTGGCCGTCACTCCAAGGGTGACATGGAGGAGGAGATGAAAGCATGTGGGCAGACGTGGAGCGAGGTGAAAACGTCGGCGGAGAACCGAACGCAATGGAGACGTGTGGCTGAAGCACTATGCTCCTCTAAGAATTAAGGGAAACAATAATAGTATAATAATACTATCTCTTTTTCATGAAACCGGGCAGTAACAAAGGTGATGAGTTGTCACAAACATGGTTGTTAATATTAGCCAGTGCATAAAATAAGTTGAATAAGTGTATTACAGTTACGTAATAGGATGAATGATTTGATGAGTTGTATTCAGGATACAGATAAAAACCAACTATTTATAACTCTCGTATTTCTTTAGAACTCTTACATAATTCCATATTTCCCTTCATTTCTACGTTCATCCTGATCACACCTCACTCATTAAATTATTCATCTTATTTTCAAGTATTGGTTTTATAGGGAATTTTGTTTGATTGACTTGGAGGATTTCATCGTGAGCTGAAGTCAGTTAGAGAACCATTGGAAAACCAACTGGGAGTACTGGACGGGTGTTTCGTCAGCCCAGTTTGGGACTCTTCATCAATACGCACCCACCGCGCCAGTTCGAACCCAGGACCTTCTGGTTACAAGGCGTACTGATGAAGAGTCCCAAACTAGGACGAAACAGACGTCCAGTACTTCCTGTAGGTTTTCCAGTGTTTCTCTAACTGATGTCAGCTTATGATGAAATCCTCTAACTGTTCATCTTATTACTTAACTCTAGTGCACTTATTCAACTCCGCTTATGTACTGACTAATATTAGCAACTGTGTTTGTGACAACTCATCAGTTTTGTTACCGCTTGGCTTCATGGAAAAGAGATTGTATATAAATTCGATTGTACACCTAAAAAGGAGAATGAATCCTCCGAAAAGGGCCCCATTCGCTGAACTACGCGTGTTTTATTCTTTTCATTAACAGTAGAATAAACGAGATGCATTTTAAGGGAGATTCACGAGTTTCAGTATAGAGATTGAGGATTCACATTCTGCTAAAATATATGACATAAATAATTTACAACCTTTATACAAGTTATCTCCATTATGGATAACAATTTTATTTTGATAGAATCACACAGTGTGTTATACAGTAATATTAACTGATATGACCACGTTTCGAGCACAAATTATTGCCACTCATAATCATGTTAAGGTACTCAAACAAAATAATATAAGTTACAAAATAACTTGCAATGACTGTAAGTTAAGTCAACTACATAGGTCATTGAAACTAGTAGATCAGGAGTAGTGAGATTATCAGAACATCAGAATTTAGCTAAGGTTAGAATGATTGATCCCACGAAGATAAGTAATTTAGAAAAAAGCTCAGCAATTGCACTGCATGCATCAACATATAACCACACAGTAGGGTGGGTGGGTCGAAATTCTAAAAAAGTGATTTATCTAGGTGGCGAGACAGAGATTGATTACTGAATCCTGCCTGGTTCATCGAGTCTCCCTACACCCAACACGTGCGGTAGAAATGACTCAATGCAAATACCGGAGATATGGAAGATATTATTATTTCCAGTCAAATCAGAGGAGGATAATAAATAATGTTAAAATGTATTCAATTCATATTATAACATTCTTACAAGTTATTTATTTTACTATGAAAACGTCTTATCTCCCATCTGATTGTATTTGATTGATAACACTAATATTATTATTTCTGAATGTACTTTATCCTATATTGATTTGATTCAAATGTCTAATCATCATCAATTTATACTCATGTATATAAATGAAGCAAGAAAGTTGTGTAAGTGCCGTAATATGATTATGAGCAGCAATAATTTGTGCTCGAAACGTGGTCGCATCAGTAAATATTACTGATCTTATCAAAATAAGATTTTTATCCACAATGAAGTTATATTCTAGCAGAGTGCCCAAGTTGTACCCTTATATCGAAGCCCTGTTATCTTATTTGGTGCATATTATCTACTTTACATATGTCAGTAGTAACTGGCATTCATTCGATCTGTAAAATCCTCCCTGAAAGTTTATTTTCCTTCTTTTATATTACAAATAGTGTAATTGCATTGTGTCTGTGCTGTTTCTTTTTTTTAGTATTGGCTGACAATGGAATTTGTTGTATTGATGAATTCGATAAAATGTCTGATTCAACTCGTTCCGTTCTACACGAAGTAATGGAACAACAAACATTGAGTATAGCAAAGGCTGGTATTCTATGCCAACTGCATGCGCGTACTTCAATCTTAGCAGCTGCTAATCCAATTGGTTCTAAATGGGATCCTAGCAAGACAATCATTGATAATATACAGGTAGATATTTGCTATTTATCTGACATCCTTTTTGCGTTTGATAGATTATTTGTCATTATATTGTGCCGTTTTTGAAAGTGTCTGTGTAATCTGTGCATATGTAGCTGAGGTGGTGATAACTAGTGGTGTCCGTCAGAGGTGATACCCATTGTTCCCATGTATGTTCAATTTCATCTTAGATGTACTAACGGAGTTAATCCTAACTGATTTCAGCGGCTCAAGGATTGATTTGTTATCAGGGAGTGATCTCGTTGACTAGATTATGCAGATGATATAGCCCTTCTAAGTGAAGACGCTGACAAAATGCAGAGTCTTCTGAACACTTTGAGTAGCAATGTGCTAGTGTTTGAAATATGATTCGCTTCCGTGAAATGCAAGATGACTCCACATAGTATTTTTGATACAAGTATGAAATTTTCAGCATGTGATATCGGAAGCGCAAATTTCGCAGGCTGACCATTGACATCGGAAGTGCGTCGGCCGGGAATCGAACCCCGGACCATGTGCATGGTCGGCGAGCGTCCTAACCGCTGTGCCACCGACTCACAGCGATGCTACAGCACTGCACTAAACTACATCAACTCCTAGCTTAAACATAGGGAGTAAAGTGGTGTCTGAGCGTTCTGACCACTTCACTTATTTGGGGAGTTGCATCAGCCAATCCCTGCCAGTTGATCACTGACGAAATCTCAGTACGGATACAAAAGGCTCGTTTAGCAAATGCTGACTTACGCCATCTCTGGTCTAGTAGACGTGATATCCGGCTGGCTGTCGACCAAACGACCTGCGTACTGTTCAGCAGTTGGCTTTGTCCTCTTTTATGGCTGTGAGTGAGACATGGCCATTGAGAGTGGAGGACATGAAAACACCGGCTAGCTGTCTTTGATCATGGATGCCTGCGTTCTCTCTCCCGTGTTAAGTGGTATAATCTGGTGAGCAATATTGAGGTTAGGCTTCGGTCGAGTGCTAGATAAGTAAGGAAGATCAATTGACAAGGTTTTGAAGTTACATGGATTGAGGTGGGTAGGACATGTGTTACGTATGCATTCCTAGCCGTCGCCTTCGTCGACAGTTGGCTATGTTAGTCTGCTGACATAGGATGAAACAGTTTGGAAAAGAGCCAGTGGTTGTCAAATCAAAAGAAAGCACCAGTCAATGTAATCCACAACAGTTAGTTTAAGCCAGTCAGTCACGTTGGAAGGTGTAGACTTCCTGTTTGGGGTCCTCAGGACGGTAAAAACCAGTGGCTGGAGACAAATGGTGATGTGGCTCAAAATTGTTCCCAATGAATGGCGCAGATGCATTCACTCTTTGTGATTTATAATATCGATTAAAATTCTGTTGTTCTTCGATATTACTATTCTTTTTGCCTCATATGTGTGTTTATTATCTCTCTCTTTACTCTCTTCTCTTGCTTTGTGTGCTACATGGAGGGAGAGTAGGAACTCGAACTGCTGCATATGTGCGCAAAGTTCTACGGTAAAACCAGTCAGACAGTATGTGTAGCTACTTAGCGTTGATACATTTGAAGTACCAGGCTGTCAGCTCTCTTTAGCGGAAATATCAGTGGAAGTATTATGCGCTAGTCCACGAAGGTAAATCATTACTCGGGGAGACTGCAGGTACATCCGAACGATGAGTCTCAAGTACGCCAAAATGCCTATCCTGGATGGATTCCACTACTAGTCAGTATCAAGCGTAATAACCTCGTGTTAATCCTTAGACATTGTCTTACTAAGAGCCAGTATGTCAACACAGACCCAGTATTTCAGTCCAGTACAATCAATTAACAAAAAGTTATGCATGTCGGGTCATTGCCTTCCTCCTCGATGAGGATTGTTAGCTGACAATGGATTAGTTTATCAACCAAGAGCTTGGGAAGGTCATACTGAAGCTTGGAATCATTCCATTGAAGTCTTTGACAGTTTGTTTAAGCCTGTCACGTGTATGAGGGCAAGTGTAGACTGCCTTGTTAGGTACCTCGGGATGCCAAGGACCAGTGTCGTTCTCAATTGCAACGATACCAATTCACCCTGTCATCTCTGTGATCTATCAATTCCTCATTGTTCTCCATGTTACTTATCTTCCTTCCGTTTATTTCTGCCCATTGTAGTTCTTTTGAATCTCCGTTTTCTCTGCCTTTGTGTGTGCTATATAGACTGTGGTCACTTGAACTGCTGCAATTCTATGCTAAATTCTAACAAAACATCCTACCCCCGCTGATCTGAATAATTATTTATTCTAATTTATAATTTCCTGTTCATGAATTTTGCTGTAGCGAGTTGCGTTGAGTGGAAATAGATATCGCATCCCTTTGTTCAGATATTGCTATATCCCGCTGAATAATAACACTAAGCAGCAGCAGCAGCGTTGGGACACAGGTGTCTTTGATTTCACCAGTGCCTACTATTAAACCCAATAAAATCTACTTTTTATCTTTCTCATATCGTTTTTGTTTTACAACAACGCCTTTATAGTTTGTTTGTTTGTTCACTCTCTTCATGAAGTAATTCCCCCCTCCCCCATATACACTTTTATTCTCCCCTTCTAGTTACCTCATACACTGCTGTCAAGATTTGATCTGATCTTCTTAATTTTGGATCCACAAGATGAAGTCTATGATACACGATTGGCTAGACACTTAGTCAGTTTATATTATCGTGGTACAACACCAAGTCAAGTGGAAAGTAGTCAAGATGTACCAAAAACTACTAGTCGAGGTGTTCATCAAAAGTCGAAAACTCGTCCATCAGCTGTACTCCTTGATATGGATAGCCAACCTGGTGGTGATGATGATGGTTTATCAGTGAGCGGTAAACTTTTAAAAGATTACATCACATATGCAAAAGTAAGTTTTTAGAAAAAATAAATTTGAATTAGTTGTGTCTGTTTTTTACTCCAAGGTGTATTATTATTATTATTGTTTCCTTTAATTCCTAGAGGAACATAGGGCTTCAGCCGCACGTCTCCATTGCGTTTGGTTCTCTACTAGATTTTTCACCTGGCTCCAAGTCTGTCCACATGCTTTCATCTCCTCTTCACATGATTTCCTCCAAGTCACCCTTACACTGACGACCAACTCACCACTTCCCTTTCAGGTTCCACTAGAAGGCTTGTCTAGTGATGTCACTTGATGGTTTCCTCAGAGTATGGCCAGTCCATCTCCATTTCTTCCTGTCTATTTGTTTCACAATCGGTTCCTGGTTGGTTCGCTCCCAGAGATCTTTGTTGCTGATCCTCTCCGGCCATTTGATCTTGAGTATTGAGCGAAGGCATTTGTTAATGAAGGTCTGTAGCTTGTTTGAGCTGCTCTTTGTGACACGCCAAGTCTCTGATCCGTATAGTAGTACTGACTTCACATTGGAGTTGAAAATACGGATCTTATTTTTGACGCTGAATGCTGTTGACCTCCACATAGACTTGAGAGTAGGTGTGCTTCACTTAAATTTCGAATGTCAATGCGCAATAGTAGTAACTGGTGCTATTGAGATGTGTGTGGCTCCATTGGCTAATGGGTCTTGGGTTCGAATCCCGCCTGGGTAGTATAGCCAGCCCACACAGTAGGCTATTCGGTGGCTTATAGCCTCTGGTACATAAGGAATCTGTATCGGATAACTGAATTCTAACAATAATATATGCCAAGTATTATCGCTTATAATACTCTTCCATACAGTTTATTTTATTCCCGTCTTCCGAGTGGAGCGTATGGCTTCATGCTTGAGCTTTAAGTTCCCAGTGGCATTGGTTGCGTTATTAGCCACATGTCCAACCTTTCCTCTTTACAGTGCTTACTACCAATTTATCGGCTGGGAATCGATCCCAGACAACATGTGTGATTGGCGAGTATTTTACTGCCGAACCACCGACGCCTTATGATACCTACTAGACTTTTTGTTGTATGTATGCATTATAACTGATGCTCTGCTTGCCTTTTATCTTCCCGTATGCATCCAGAAAAAGTCCTCATAAAGCTTGACAGTGTATTATTATTCCCTTGAAACATAAGTCTACAGTAGTATGCGCACATCTGTCTCTCAGTACTCGATGTAATCCTCAGACCAACATCCAACTCGTTGTTCCCCAATCGGGTTTCATTCAATGGCCTGGTGCGTTATGTGTTACTCATCGATCCTGGCAAAGTTAAACTTTAAGCACCACTAACTACCAATCAGCGAATGACTTCGAATGCACCAATCACGTGCATTACAGTAATATTTCCTGAGCAATAAATTGTACTCAAAACGTGGGAGGAACCTGAAGGAAACAACTTCTTTCACCTACCTGGGAAGCATCGTCTCAACTACAGGAGGAACTGACGAGGATATCAAAGCCAGAATCGGAAAAGCAAGACAAGTTTTCATTTCTCTCAAGTCTATGTGGAGGTCAACAGCATTCAGCGTCAAAAATAAGATCCGTATTTTCAACTCCAATGTGAAGTCAGTACTACTATACGGATCAGAGACTTGGCGTGTCACAAAGAGCAGCTCAAACAAGCTACAGACCTTCATTAACAAATGCCTTCGCTCAATACTCAAGATCAAATGGCCGGAGAGGATCAGCAACAAAGATCTCTGGGAGCGAACCAACCAGGAACCGATTGTGAAACAAATAGACAGGAAGAAATGGAGATGGACTGGCCATACTCTGAGGAAACCATCAAGTGACATCACTAGACAAGCCTTCTAGTGGAACCCGAAAGGGAAGCGGCGGGTTGGTCGTCCAAGGGTGACCTGGAGGAGATCATGTGAAGAGGAATTGAAAGCGTGTGGGCAGACTTGGAGCCAGGTGAAAACTACAGCAGAGAACCGAACGCAATGGAGACGCATGGCTGAAGCCCTATGTTCCTCTAGGAATTAAAGGAAATAATAATAATAAAACGTCGTTAGTAAATATTACTGTATAACACAATGGAATTATACTCTACCACAGTGCACAAGTTCTATTCTTGTATCAACAGAGTAATTTAACTACATTCTATGCATGTAATCATTCAGGTCTCCTAACCCTAACCTTTCCTAAACCTAACCCTAACCCAAAGATATGCCGAGACTAATTGTAATCTAAATCGAACCAAACCTACTGCCGCCTTTGTTAGGTTAACCTAACACCAACTTGTCCTTGGCTTAAACCGTAACTTAATCTTTCTCAAACCCAGACTGAAACTTGCCAGATATCCCATTGAATAATAATATAACACTTTGATTAGCATATTGTATGGATGATGACAACATTAATGCTCAGTGAGCGTTTCCAGGTCATTGGTGCGGTCGCATTCCATTGGTAGTGAGTGGGGCTTAAAGTTGAACTTGCCCCTAGCTATCTTATGTTCAGTATTGAGCCAGCGAAGTCAGTTGTTGATGAAAGTCTACATTAGCCTGTTGGAAAGGCTTTTTATGATGTGCTAAGTTTGTGAAACATGTAGAAGCACTGACTGACTGACTGACTGACTTGGCATTCGTTTTCAGGATTCAGATCTTATCCCTTGTTGCTGTGAGTGCTGTAGACAGACACCTCTACATTGATTTCACAGTAAGTGAAACAAATGGCTTCCTTCAAATTTCTCCAAGTTGTTGATAATCGATTATTATTATTATTATTATTAATGTGGGTTAAGGTGGATTAATTTTTATACTGACAGCTTTTTCTTCAGAGTTAGACTATATAAACCGGTCACTACTCTATTCTTATTGCATTCCGTTTATAGGTATTGCCAGAAAACTATTCTATAGTACAAAAAAACTAACTAAGTGTTATTTAGTTGCGTAATTCAAACGAGTGAATCTGTTTACTTCTGATGACAAAAGTTTGCATTTTAAGAGGAAAGCATTGGGGGTTAGGTTAAGCCTTTTAAAGATTCATTAAAAGGTGCGTGTATGTATTTAGTACAGGTGCGTAGTTTGAAGTTAGCTTTACATCGTTTAATATTTCATTGCATGGAGGATTTCATCATGAGCTGACATCATTTAGAGAACCACTGGAAAACCAGCTGGGAGTACTGGACAGTCGTTTCGTCCTAGTTTGGGACTCTTCGTCAGTAGGCACCCACCGCCCAAGTTCGAACCCAGGATCTTCTGGTTACAAGGCGAGCTAGCTCGTAGACCATTGAGCCACTGGGACCTGATCCAGTGGTCCTTGAATTCTAACTTCTGGCAATTCACGACACAGCGCGACCATTTCGCAATGTCTTCTTAGATGAGTTACTGCCTCATCTTCAACCTGTTGTACCCTACTGGTCACGGCTTCCCGCTAGAACCCCAGGTTAACTGCCTGAAGATTAGGTTTTTTTAAATTTGTGAAAATCTTGGTGTTTTTTCTCTTCTACTTACCCTCTAGATGAAGTATCATCCTAAATTAACCGAGGAGGCCGGTGAATACTTGGTTCGTGAGTATGTGGAAATGCGAAAATTGGGTTCAGGTCGTGGGCAGGTAAACATACATTATTTTTTGCCTTACATGTTTTATTTGTGCTTGTTGTTATTTGCATATGAAACAAAGCTAGGGGCCATATTCATGATTTTTAATAATAATAATAACAACTAGCAGTGGAATCCAACCATGATGATGCACATTTCGTCCTATTTGGAACTCGTCACCTCTGGATGTAACATTATTCCCAATGAGAGTGATGGTGTTCCCTTGTGAGGCTAGAACACAGTACTCCCACTATCGTTTAAAAGTTCGCTAAAGCTTTATTCACTAGACCTCTTGGATCATGAGGGTGATCTCTTGTGTAATGAACATCAGTTGTTATTATTCTACTCGTAGATGAGTCTCAAATAGGATGAGATGTGTATTCTGCATTTTACTATTAGTCACCAAGCATCCTCAGACATTGTCGAGGCGTCCGTGCTACGAACCGACATGTCAACTGAGACTTAACATTCCCGTCTTATCAGTCAACGGGGAAATCAAAATTTAAATAACGTAGTTAGAAAATTCCAGAACTACTTCCTGTCAGAGGTCAAAATATAACAAACAAAAAAATGAAGTTATTCAGCAAAAACAGGGATTAAAAGTATATTTACGAGCACATATATATATCCCTTTATAATGACTTCTAGTTTATTACATTATGAGATGGAAGAGGAGAGTGGTGATAAAGAGTGTGTGTGTGTGTGGTAAGAGTCAAGCAATGTGGATTTAGCCTATTTCACGCTTGAGTTCATATGTCTATAGCCTACAATAATAACCAGCTAGCTCACTTCTAGTGGCATTCCACTTGCCCTAGTGAGACAATCTTCAATGCCCTTCGCAATATGATATAGTCATTTTTGAGTAGCCCAAAAAAGATTAAGGTTGGGAAGCAATTAAGAACAATAGATAAGGTGCAAGGTTTAACAAGCTGTAAAAGGAGGGGTTCAGTTATACTTGATTGTCTTGACTACTAAATGTAGAAGGTTAGACCGAACATTATCTTAGAAGTCAACAAGATATGAGATGACCAAGTAAAGTTAGAAAGGAAAGAACTATTCCAAGTTATTTAGTGCGTGACTTCGTTTCTATATTTCAGTGCTCTCTATGCTATGTTGACCACTTCACCTATTTGGGAAGTTGTATCAGCACCAACGGACTGATTGGCGACGAAATCTCAGCACGGATTCAAAAAGCTCTAGCTGCTTTCGCTAAATTACGCCATCTCTGGCGTAGGCGTGACATCCGGCTATCAACCAAGGGACGTGTGTACTGATCAGTAGTTCGCCCCGTCTTTCTCTATGGCTCTGAAACATGGCCGATACTAGTGGAAGACATGAAAAGGTTGACTATTTTTGATCATAGATGTCTACGATCTCTTTCTCACGTCAGGTGGTATAATAAGGTAAGCAATGTTGATGTTAGGCGTAGAATGTTGGACAAAGAGAGGAAATCAGTCGAAGAGGTGATAAAGTTACATAGATTGAGATGGCTAAGTCACGTGCTGCGCATGCCTAACCATCGCCTCCCCCGACGGACGGGCATTACTAGCTGATATAGGTGCAGGTTGGAAAAGAGTAAGTGGTGGCCAAACAAAAACATGGCCTCATCAATCCATGAAATCCTTGGCAGTTAAACTGAGTCAGGTAGGGAGATGCAGACTTCCGGGTCGGGGCCCGCCCTCGGTACTCTAAGAATCAATGGCTGGAGACAATAGGTGACATGGCTGAAAATCGTTGTCAATGGCTTACGCAGATGTATTCAGTCTCTGTAGTCTTTCATATTCCTTTCTACCATTCCTCATTCTGTTTCACTCTTATACTTGTCAAAACTCTATTGATTCTCTTCACTCATCTTCTTGTCTACCTTTGTGTGGTGTTTGGAACGTGGCTACTGGAACTGCTGCACTTCGGTGCCAAGTTCTATGTTGAATCCAGACAAACAGCTCTGTATGCTACAAGTATCTTAAGAACTAAGAGGTTCTTGTAGATCACGTTCATACCTGAAAGTGAATCGCTGATATTTAGAGGGATTTAGCGTAAGATAACTCAACTGAGAGGTTTTTATGTGTGTGTCGTATGCACTACTGAGGTTATTTTCTTCATAGAAATCTTTCGTTTAGGAATTGTACAGTCACATTTTCTTTGCATTGGCCATCTACATATTATATACAGAATGCTGCTACAAATGACCCTATCTTAAAATCTATTAATGCTATTACTGTTTTAATGACTACCTAATAGTTGTGCTGTATCAACTAACCTGTCTGTATATCATCGGCACTCAAGTTTCACACCCCAGTTTGTCCAATCTAGCAGGGTTCGGACAGCCAATTAAAATGTCATTAGTCTTCACGCGATAGGCATGATTCGTTGTCAAATGTCTGAACTTGCACGCGATTACCGAATAACACTGATATCTTGATATCTCAATCCCCGCCAACACCCATAGATATCTTCCAATATTGGTTGATTTCTTATCTGAAAGAAATTTCAGTTTTTTTTCAGGAACACTGCCTTAAAATTTAGCTTGTTAGGTATTTTCACTTCATTTGTGTGTATTTCCTTGTGGACCTATGTATCTGTCTTTCTAGTTATTTACATTGGGTTATATTGTCTTGAAATGATAATTGACATCTGTAGGAGACTGTGGTGTATCGGTGGTCCAGCAGTAGGACACTCTCCAACCACACACATGGTCCGGGTTTGATCTCCCGGCGCACTTTATAACCTCACCTAGCGGTAGTAAGAGTGGTGAAGAGAGAGAAGGTTGGGCGTGAGACCAGAAACCTCATCCTGTGAAACACAAACACCAATGCCACGGAAACTTCAAAGCTCAGGATTAAAGCTCCATGTTACCCTCGGAGCGCAAAGAAGACTTTAGGATACATATAATGGAATGTTTTAATAATTCGTTGGATTACACATTAATTGATCCCTTGAGAGTAACCAATGTAGTCCAGACTAGATTGTGTCAGTCAGGTTTGCGATTTGGTTGGCTAGCCACCGTGGTGCTCTTTGAATTGTTAGTTGGAGGTAATCAACAAGATGTCGTGTACGTAGGTTTCGTGCTTGTTGACACTCGTCAGCAAGGAAGGAACTTATGTCCCGTCTGAGATTCGAACCCGTGTCACCCCCCAGTGCTTAGGTCAAAGACGTTACCACTGAGCTATTCGGGTTTGAATTCTTCGTATCATGATTACTTTCGTTAGATTTCAGTTATTTCATATTGTAACATGACACACAAGATTTATATGTATTTATATCTGCTACAAATATTATTTCACAGACTGCTTTTGTTTCTTCTGTCAAAATCTCACTTGTAGATATCTGCATATCCTCGCCAACTTGAATCACTTGTACGTTTAGCTGAAGCTCATGCTCGTTTACGTCTATCAAATGAAGTCACTGCTGATGACTGTCGTGAAGCTCGACGTCTGCAAAGAGAGGCATTAAAACAAGCTGCTATTGATCCTGTCACTGGTACTATCGATATCAATATTTTAACAACAGGTAGGGTAATATTTAATGCCTTGTTTGACTCAGATATATTTTTGGTTGGACAGTCACTTCAGTCTTCTTAAGCAAACTAGATTAGTCTGTATCAAAATGCTGAAAGGGAAATTGGATAACCTTCAGGAATCAAGATATACTAGTGATCTTTTTTAAACTCCTTCGTGGCAGAGGATTATAAACAGTTGATTAACTATCACGGAGTTTCAACATGGGACTTTGAACAGTAGTACAGCAGCTCAAGTCCAACCTGTGTTCCTACACACACCATGTAGCACACAATGGGATAGACAAGACAGAGGGATAAAAAGGAGATTCAAAACCTTTAATAAGCTGAAATTTGCGGGAGAAAGAATAGATTAACAATGAGAAACCACGAGGGTTCAGTGGATATGCTTGAATTACAAAAAGTGAATGCATCCCAGCTCCCGTAAGAACAATTTTTTCAGACATATCACCAATAGTCTCCAGTGATTGATTCTTAGCATCCCGAAGACCTCTCTCAACCAGGCAGTCAACACTATACTTCCCCTACGTGTCTGCCGCAAACCAGCTATCAAAGACTTTGAACTAGCAGTCGTCGAACTACCAGTTCAACACTCTTCCAGCTTAGCTACGAGATTCAGTTATTAAATTAAGTGAAAATGTTATAAAATTAAAGGTTACGTAATGCTAAAACGAAAGTGGGATAGATAATCAGATTTTTAAAAATGTCATAAAAATACAAGAGAAGTGAAGAATAAAAAAAGTTGGAAAATTTTAATTGGATCATTATTAGATTTACTTAAGACAGATCTTTTGTAAATCATGGAAAATACCCATCGGGACATTAGATTGAAAAGCAAATGGAGTTTAGCAAAGATGGCGATCTTTTCGGCGATTTCATTCTCAAAAGCAGCTGAACAATCGCATTTATATAGATTGGTTTACATGGATACAATTATTATTTGTTTAATTCCACATAGCAACAACGATGGAGATAATAATTTTCAACTTGATATGAAAGATTGAAGGTACGAATATAGATTACAAGGGGCTTAGAGACAAGATTGCATAGGATTAGAAAACAGTTACAACGTATGAAAAATTAATATTTGATAACTGGAGAAATAATTTTAAAGGCGAATAAAAGGTGATATGAATTGCAAGAGGCTTAGAAACTAAAAGTTACACAGGATTAGAATATAATTTTAAAATGGTTATTCTGAACGGATTACAAATGTGATCAGGACCAGCATGGAAACAAACTTAAAACAACTAATTTTACAACTGAAAAAATGGGATGAATTGAATGAAGACAAAGAGAGAAAAAATACACACAGAGAACAAAACAAAAAAAGCTGAAGGATAAGGGAACACACCGAACTAGGTTCACGGTAGTTGTAAAGGCTGGAATAGTTTCTTTTGAACACATAGTTCTGGCTTTTCGATTCATATGGCAAGAGCTTCTGCAGTACAAAGAAGTCGGAAACACACTGCCTTTGGTAGATTTTCGTTTACTCTGAATGATGAGTCAGTTGAGATTCTGTGACAGGTATTGACGAGGTGTTCAGTTATTGCGCTTCTGATTGAACCAGTGCCTCCATCGTTGAAGTGGTCATATGCGAAAGTCTGTCCTTCCCGTTGCTCCTAAGTAGTGGGCGGCTGGAGAATATCACTCTTGCTGCCGGGAAAGTCTTCTTTAGGGAATTGGAGATTCTCCTCCTAAGGATATCTGCTGCTAGGTCTCCCCTGAATTCCAGATTCAAATAAAGTGTTTTCGTTGGCACTGAAGTTTATTCTTTTGTATACAAAGACTAGGATTAATTTCGTCGATGGTGACTGACCAGCAGTGGAATCCAGCCAGCATGCGCATTTCGTCCGCACTTGGGACTTGTTGTCCTAATGAACACCTGCATTCCCAGTCAGTGACGCTATTTCCACTGAGACTGGAACCCAGTACCCATATAGTTTCAAACGCCAAAGTGTTATCCCTAGAGACTGGACATTTCGGCTCAATCAATCAACGAGAAAATTGAATTGAAAACAAAGAGTAGGGACTGGCTGTTCTCTCGAATCGCCATAGCTCCACTTGTGTATAAAAGATGAATACGGGTTCCATTCAAAAGTTTCAATAAAAATAAGATATTCAAGTATTGGTTTATAGGGATTTGGTTGATTGGTTACAGGATTTCATCATGAGCCGACATTGGTTAGGGAACCATTGGAAAACCAACAGGGAGAACTGGGCAGCTGTTTCATCCTAGTTCGGGACTCTTCAGCAGTATTCACCCGCCGAGGTTCGAACCCAGGACCTTCTGGTTACAAGGCTAGAGAGCTCGTAGACCATTCAGCCACTGGGACGCGATCTAATGGCCCATGAATTCTAACTTTGCCAATTCACGATATAGCGCAACCGCTAGCCAGTGTTTTCGGTGAGCATTTGTCCTCACACCCGAACTGCTGCACCCTACTGGTCACGACTTCCCACTAGAACCCAGGTAACTATCTACCTGAATATGGCCAGTCGCCAGTGAGCATTTCGTTGATATTCAAGTATTGAGATAACTAATCTTGAAAATGCTTCTTCTGTCCACTTGGCTTATCAATCAAATGAGACAAAATAGAGTTTCTTATGGATTTTGTATGGCCTTAACCGAATCATTTAAATCAGGGAACACTAGACAGCTTTTTCGTCCCAGTATGTGACTTTATCAGTGCGCACCTGCAATCGAATTCTAGGCTGTGAGATCAGATCATTGACTTTTCCGTCATTTATGCTGGAATTCTCAAAGACGAGTGAACTTTAACCTCTGTCAATCTGTGATTATAGCACTGCTATCAACCAATACCCTCCATGAGGCACCCACATCACCCTGGCATAGTGTGGCGCCTACTGGCGACAACTCAATACAGCTACAGGATATCCACCGAGTAGATTTTGTTTGACGCTTTTCCTAACCATGAACGGGAAGACTGTGAGTAATGCGTTTGTGTTAAGCTGTCTAGTTGTTCAAGAGCAGCTAAATTTGTAAATGTGTATAGAAGTGTCACAAATAGATGGACAGCTTATAATTATCACTCATATACATATATTGCAACGAAATAATCTAAATTTATTCGATGATTGATTACTTTTCTACCACAGGTATCAGTAGCAGTGTACGTAAACGACGTGAAGAAATGGCAATGGCAATATGGTCACTGCTTGACGAACGTCCACGTGTACTCACATTTGTTTATTCTCGTGTACTCGAGGAGTTACGTGCACGTTCTGAGCGTATGATAACACGTGAGAATTTCGAGGATGGATTAAACTTTTTAAAGAATACTAATAAAATTGATTGGGCAGGAAATACGATACGTAAACGCTAATCGCTATTACTATGATTATTATTATTATTTTTTAATGTGTTAATTATATATATTTGTAAAACTGTATCATTACAACAGAAGAAACGGACAGATTCTCGTATTTATATATTCGCATTTATACGCTTTTCACCCTCGTTTTATGATAATAGTAATAATAATAATAATAATAAAAGTCATGTTTATATATATATATTGACCTTACAGTTGTTGCTCTGCTCTGTTGAGATTTAGCCTGATGACTGCTACCCGCGACTACTTCTGTAATTTTTTTTTTACTATACATTGTTTCTTCACACTGGCATCAGAATAGATTGACTAGGCCGGGGTGCAAAAGTCATTGTGCGTAAGGTCAAGGGTCAAGGTCAGTTGTTAGTAACGCCAGTCTATAAACTTTCCGAAAAAAAAGGAGTGAACGTGTTTTTCGGTGCGTGTGTGTGTATGATGTTATAAGAGTGTGAATTAATAATGCCCACTAACCAGGCTCTACACTCCTTTCTAGACCAAATGCAGCTACTATATATGTAATAAGTACTTTGTGATTGGACACTAGTGTAATGTGTCTAGTCCTCTGTTTGGTGGAGACTGGCCACCTGCCACTAGATGGCACGCCATCACAATGCACTGCTGATTGCCTCCAAACATATAATACTAATAATATGTATATATTAAACCTGTTGGATAATATTTTCAGACTTTTTATGCATATGCATTAACATTGTTTTATTTTATGTTGTTTTATGTATGTATTAGTGGAGATGTGAAGAAAAGCAACTGTGATTTCCGTTAGGGAATCATAATAAGAAGAAGAATCAACAACATATAAGAGAAGACTTGAAACTTAATGAATAATTACCCTGATAAATTAGTCAGAAAGTATGTAGGGAAATGTAAAACTAAAAATGAAATAAATAATGATAGTAGTGATAGTGATAATAATAATAATAATAATAATAACGGTAATATTAATGACGACATGCATGTCAAATATACGCAAGACAACACCAACAATAAGGAATCGAAATCATCAGCAGCAGTAATTCCATACAAGGAAGGAACCTCGGAAACCACTTTACGCAGAATTCTTAACAAGGCAGGCAGGAATAAAAGTGGCCGGCATTTAAACACACAAACTCAATTAGAAACAAGTTTTGTTGGTTAAAAGATGCTGTTGAGCCAGTTTATCCAATACCCTGCTGTAATGATTGTCAGGTCAAATATATAGGTCAAAGTAGTACAAAAGGTACAGTTAGACTAGCAGAGCATAAAATCCTGGCAAAATCTAGATTATTTGACCCGAATAAGATAAGAAATCTAGAGAATAGTTGAGCTATAGCACTCACTGCATGCAATTACACACAACCATACAATAGGATGGTATAGGATGACAGCTTTAAAATGTAATGTCACAGGGTGGAGGGAGAGATTGATAACAGAAGCTTTGTTTATCGAATCAACCGAAGAGAATACGTGAAATAGGAATGATTCAACACCTGTCCTCCCAGACATCTGGAAAATTCTACTACCCCTAAGACGACAAATTGGAGAGAACAAAGAAAACTACAAAACTCAAGTTTCGAAGTCGTGTGATTATAACTGAACGCATGATTCTGAACAATAACTTTTGTTCGAAACTGTGTCATCTAGTAAATAATACTGTGTGTGATACATCTAATAAAGAAACTAATACGGAATCAACAACAGTTTTGAAAGTACATGTGAAAGACTAGATGGTGTATAGTCACCTACTTAACGCGCCTAACCTCTTAGTGTCTGATTGACTGAGTTTCAACATTAAGACTTTGTACAGAGAAGCGGTTCAGCAGTTCAACTTGTCACACTCCATGTAGTACACACACACAAAGGTAAACAAAAGAGGAAAATAATGGGGATTTTAGGGGAGAAAGAATATTGAAAATCAAAACAAGTGGTGATTCAACAAGTGGTTTTTTTCAACAACCAATTTATTATCAAGCTGTACAATCGTATATATAAATGGCTTTTTTTTAAAGAAATTATATCCGGCGAGGGAATTGCAATTAAAATGTTTGTGATTATAATCGTAGTTAAATATCAAGTGGCAAAACAATGAATGTCATATATAGAATAATTTATAGGATGGATAGAACTTGGAAGGTGTGTGTAATAGGCAAACAGGACAAAGATAAAAAGTTACGTAACTGTGTGAAATTTAATAACATAGAATTTAATGTTGCAAAATAAAATTGATTTAGAATGACAAGTGGAAATAGTGAAATAATACCGGGGACAGTTCAAAGTGAGAATATTAATAGTAGCAATTGACGTAATAAAGGAAGAGTTTACAAATTGAATAAACAAAACGAAAAATAAGTAGATCCAAAATATGATTCGGGATTTTCATACTTTAGCACAGAGGGATTAAGACCATGAATGTTGGAGGAGTTGGACGAACTTTTACTGTATACATGAATCTGGCTTTTCTATTTCGATGTCTAAAGCTTCAGCAATACAGATCAGTCGGATACGTAACGATGTGGTCAAATTACTTTTCACCTTGTAGATGATTTTAAAGGCGGAAGCTGTAGAGATAGGGTGATCATTATGGACCAGATGTTCAATGATCGCGCCTCTTATTGCATCACTTCTACGTCTTCGTAACCATGCAGGATAGTGTTCTTGCATCATATTGAACAAAACTCGAGTCGTGCGACCGACATACTTAGCTCTACAAGAGCAGGTGAATCGGTAAACGCCCACAGAGTTGGTCAGCTGCGGGATTTTGTCCTTCAGGTTAGTGAACAGTACTGGTCGACTGGTAAAAGTAATTCTCAAAGTTGCAGCAAGGAATGTCCTTTTCAGATTCTTCTTCTAATGTTATCGGAAACCAAGTCACCTTTGAATTCCAAGCTCATGTACAGCATTTTCTTGGCTACGGATGATAAGTTACATTTCATAGGTTTTGACTGTATATTCTCGTCTATAAAACGTGGTGGAAATTTTGATGACCTCCCTAATTGGCTAGCTCAAACTAGCTGTCAGAGACTTCATAAATTCATTTCAAGTTTTTGTCTGACTACTCGTAACCTTTTTCCGATCTAATCCTATGTTGACAAGGAAGGCGAAGGCGCTCTGAATGCGTAACACACGTGGTCAAATCATCTCAATCGATGTAGCTTCTCAACTTCATCAACATGCTTCTCTTCTTTACTCCACTACTCTATACCTAAGCTCATTATTATCCACTTGCAAAATAAATAGTGAATAGTAGAGTTTTAAAAAACCCATATAACACTTTTGGTATTTTCTAAATCTTCACTATAAAAAGTGAAATCAAGAATTGATCGGTTACGGGATTCCCCCATGAACTGACATCGGTTAGATAACCAACAGGGCAGTACTGGACAGCTGCTTCTTCCTAGTTCGGGACTCTCCACAGTATGCACTCATCGCTCCACTTCAAACCCAAGACCCTCTGGTTACAAGGCTAGCTTGCTCATAGGCCATTAAGCCACTGGGACCCGATCCAATGGCCAACCCATGAATTCCAACTTCTGACAATTCATGATATAGCGCGACCACTAGTGGTAATGTATTCGGCGAGTATCTGTCCTCACCCCCAACCTGCTGTACCCTACTGGTCACAACTTCTCACTAGAACCTAGTTAACTACCTACTTGAATAGGGCCAATCGCTAGTCAGCGTTTCACTGTGCGTCGGTGGCACAGTGGTTAGAACTCTCGCCGACCATGCACATTGTCCGGGGTTCGAACCCCTGTCGACGCACACCCGATATCTATGGTCGGCCTGCAAAATTTGGGCTACCGATATCCATGCTGAAAATTCGACACTTGTACTGAAAATACGGTGTGGCATCAAGCTGTAATCAAAAAAAATTCAAGTATTGGTTTGTAGGGATTTGATTGATTAGACACAGGTTACAGCTCATGATGAAATCTTGTAATGAGTCAATCAAATCCCTACAAACCAATACTTGAAATCAAGAATACTGTAATTAGTACTAATTCAATCGTGGATTGTTTGCCAAAGGCCAACCAGTAGGAATCCCTGAACCTAGGCTTCGTTCTTATTGGCACTCGTCAACAAAGCATATTTTATGCCAACCTTGAAAGCACCAAATGCTCAGTGATGCCGAGTCATTTAACTTGGGTTCTGTGAAGGCTTTAAAATTGGTTTCGGGGTTAGTTCCATTCTGAACGGACATAAGGTAGGTAGGCAGGTGAACTAAGTTACCTTTTTCTGAGGGAGTGTATTTTTCTAATTTGTCGTTAGTGAATGCAAACTAAAGACTTCATCAACGAATTAACCCAGGGCTATGAGGTCACCGATATAAGTTTCCGTGTTACAATACAGGCATCTGTTTAGTATTGAAATTGGCCTGTGAGTTGATCATTGAAAGGGGAAGTTGAAAAACAGTGAACCTATTTAGATGCTTAAGGACTTATCACCTACATTGTTAAAAAATCGAAAAAGAAGAGTACTATAATCAGCAAAAATGTTCGGGAGAAACAAACACTAGTAGTGTAACACCAGAAGACAAGGGCCAGACAACAGTTCGTTTATTAAGGAAATCAACAGATATTTATAGATTTTCATGTACAGTATTATAGATTATTATAAGCAAACAAACACAGTCTTCTGACTGGCGGTTTCTCGCTGAACGTTAATCTTCCATCTCTTTGTGGCTGTTTCTTGAAGTTCAGATTATCCATCTGCAAATTGTATCCGCCTACGCAGAGTGTGCTGTGATTGGTTGTTGAGTCAGTCTTTGTTCTTATTTATCTCATGACCAATATTGGGGACGTAAACAATGACGTAAATTACTGTCTACCAATTTCGGCTAGCAACCAGCCCTCACCACAGTAGTAACGTGGAAAGACATGAAGATTTAGTAGATGTTAGAGATTATGAAGAACTTACTGACTGACGAACCTCATTGTCAGTCAGTAACTTATCTAAGGCTTTAAGTATACTGCTGTCATGTAGCACAAATCAAAAAGACTGGATCACTCCCAGAAATTTTTATCGTAAATGCAACATGTCTGAATAGAAAATAAGGTGACTGTTCCGACAAAACAATAATAATAATAAGGCTTAATTTGTCTAAAACGTGTAATGTATATTTGTGCAACACATTTCGGACATTCTAACCATACACACACACACGTATTTATCATACATAGACGTTG